TGAATGGGGCAGGACCAGATTCCTAGAGATCTGGCTCCTGTCCTCTCAGTCTTAGGACTCAATGAGTAGAACCGTGTTAACATAAAAACAATCAAACCTGTAAAGAATTTTTGTGAGTTTATTTGAGCCAAACTGTTGACATATGGAAGGAAGCAGAACCTCAATGGATTGAGATAATGCTCCGGAGAATGGCGGGTTACATCTGTATTTATACATGGCAATCAAAGGAAGGGATGTAGATGGGTTACATGAAATCCATTGGGGATAGACTAGAGAGGCGGGAGGAAGCAAAGGGGGGTGGAGAGAGACATCATCATCTCATCAATGATGAGAGAGAATCACTGATTGGCTGCCTCCTGCACGCCCCACACTAGGAATCGTGCCTGCAACCCGGGAGTGTGCCCTTGACTGGAATTGAACCCGGGAGCCTTCAGTCCGCAGGCCAATGCTCTATCCACTGAGCCACACCAGCTAGGGCTTGGGGTTTGATTTTATCCTCTCCTCACCCCACTCAGCTCACCCTGTGCCCAACAGAGGCACCTGAGCCCCTGCCTGTGGGAGAGAGGAAGACCCAGTAGGTGCCGTCCTCAGATTTAGGGTCCCACCTCACCTGTGGGCAGTTGACCAATGATGTTCCGGCCTAGAGTCTTGATTCCCGCGGCAATTATCCCAAAGAGGGGGTATCCTGCTCGGTGCCACGCAGGCCTCGGGATCCCTTCCCCCCAGGACCGGTTGGCTCCCTGAGGGGCTCCTCTGTTCTCCCTGCGCCAGGCTACGTGCACTTCCGGCTGCAGTACCCCGAGCTCTTCGACAGCCTGTCCCTGGAGGCGGTCCGCTGCACAGTCGAGGCCGGCTACCCCGGCGTCCTCTCCAGTCGGGACAAGTACGGCCGAGTGGTCATGCTCTTCAACATCGAGAACTGGGACTGCGAAGAAATCACCTTTGACGAGGTCAGCGAGTCCTTCGCACACACTGGGCTGGGCTCCCTCCCCCAGCCCTGGCCTCTGTGGGGCTGTCACTCTGTGAGGTGGGGGAGGGGGAGGCAGGCAGCCACGGCCGCCAGGCCCTGTCCAGCTGCGGGAGAACTAACTCTAGGGTGGCCAGGGCAGCTGGGAAACCCAGCGGCTTTGCAGGCCGGGCCCGCTGGCCAAGGGTCCCGGTGTCCCTGCCAAGCGGGGTGACAGCTGTGGGCCACGAGCTGGGCTCAGCCCAAGGTTGGAAGCTGAGAGCCACAAAGAACAGGGAGAGCAGGGAGGGGTTCTGGAGAGCACACGCAGGCTCCAGCCTCGTTAGCAGCCTGACGTCTTGGCATGACACGTAGGCGATGCCATGGGTCAAGCCCTTAAGACAGCTGCCCTGCCCGGCCTGCATGGCTCAGTGGTTGAGTGTTGACCTATGAGCCAGGAGGTCACGGTTCGATTCCCGGTCAGGGCACATGCCCGGGTTGCAGGCTCCATCCCCAGTGTGGGGCGTGCAGGAGGCAGCCGATCCATGATTCTCTCTCATCATGGATGTTTCTCTCTCTCTCCTTTCCTCTCTGAAATCAATTTAAAAAAATACATTTTAAAAAAAGTCTTGGCACCCTAGCCGATTTGACTCAGTGGATAGAGCGTCAGCCTGCGGACTGAAGGGCCCCGGGTTCGATCCCGGCCAGGGGCACATGCCTGGGTTGCAGGCTCGATCCCCAGTAGGGGGTGTGCAGGAGGCGGCCGATCCATGCTTCTCTCTCATCATTGATGTTCTCTCTCTCTCTCCCTCTCCCTTCCTCTCTGAAATTAATAAAAAAATATATATATATATTTTGAATATATTTCTTTATTGATTTCAGAGAGGAAGGGAGAGGAGAGAGAGAGAGATAGAAACATCAATGATGAGAGAGAATCATTGATTGGCCGCCTCCTGCACACCCCCTACTGGGGATCGAGCCTGAAACCCAGGCATGTGCCCCTGGCCGGGATCGAACCCGGGGCCCTTCAGTCCGCAGGCTGACGATCTATCCACTGAGCCAAGCCAGCCAGGGCAAAAAATAATATATATATATATATATATATATATATATATTTTAAAAAGCCTTGGCAAATACAATGAAGTTTAAAGGGGACAGGGAGAAGCACGCTGGCATCTCACCATGGCTGGGACACTCGCGGTTATTTCTTGGGACCCATTCACAGAGGGGGAGTGTCCCAGCTCTAAGCCGGTGACGGTGGGTGACAAGTGACCTCCGATAAGGGTGCACCAGTCGGCTCCCCCGCCAGGACCTGGTCGCTGCGGCCGGGGCTGGCAGCCTGGTCCCTGTGCCCAGATCTTGCAGGCCTATTGCTTCATCCTGGAGAAGCTGCTGGAGAACGAGGAGACCCAGATCAACGGCTTCTGCATCGTGGAGAACTTCCGGGGCTTCACGCTGCAGCAGGCTGCGGGGCTGCGGGCCGCCGACCTCAGGAAGATGGTGGACATGCTCCAGGTGAGGCCTCCGCGCCGGCCCGAGGGGGGGTGGTGGGGGGACCCCAGCACAGGGTGGGAGGCTAGGTGGCCAGGCCTGGTGTCCTGGTTTAACGGTGCCGGCAGGGAGCTGAGAATGGGCCACAAAGGGCAACGCCAAACACAGACACACTTGCGTGGTGATCGACAGTGGGCCAGGGATTCACGTTCATTAACTCATCTACCCGGAGAGAGCATCCTCTCGCTGCTTCCTGCTTCATTTTTTCCACATTTTTTATTTTTATTTTTTAAATTTTTATCTATTTTTTTAATCCTCATCTGAGGATATTTTTCCATTGATTCTTAGAGAGAGCGTGGAAGAGAGAGAGAGAGACCGAGAGAAACATCGATATGAGAGAGGCACATCGATTGGTTGCCCCCTGCACACGTCCTTGACCAGGGCCCAGGCCGGGTAGGAGCCTGCAACTGAGGTACATGCCCTTGACCGGAATTGAACCCGGGACATATTTGGTCCGCAGGCCCGATGCTCTATCCACTGAGCCACATGGCCAGGGTGTCCCTGCTTCATTTTTAAAACCTGGAAAATGAGGCTCAGAGATTTGTGTGACTTCTCAAGGTCACAAAACTCTAAAGTGGCAGAAGCCAGACTTGAACTTACACCTTCTGACCCCAAATCCCACGGTGTCTGCATATGTCTCTTTGAATGTGAATTTATCCCGAGAGAGGATATCACTAATGCCCATGACACTCACTCCTATAAGTGTCATGAGTCCTTTTTTAAAAAAATATATTTTGTATTGATGTCAGAGAAGAAGGGAGAGGGAGAGAGAGAAGCATAAATGATCAGAGAGAATCATCAATCAGCTGCCTCCTGCACGCCCTGCAGCCCTGCACTGGAGATCGAGCCCGAAACCCGGGCACATGGCCTGACCGGGAATCGAACCATGACCTCCTGGTTCCTAGGTCGACGCTCAACCACTGAGCCACGCTGGCGGGGCCATGAGTCCTTCCTTAGAGCTCATAAGTCTGCTGTCCGTGCACCTGGGGAAGGAAGGCGGGGATGGGTGGAGGACAGTGAGCATGACAGAGGTGTCCCCGTGGTCTGTGATAGTTTGCAGTCACTCAGCAGGCAAGTGGGTTTGGAAAGCCCGGTCCCCTACAAACCCAGCGAGGCTACCATTTCATTTCTTCATGGGGAGAGGGCTGGGCTGCATGGCTCTGGGGCTTCCTGTGTGTGTGTGTGTGTGTGTGTGTGTGTGAAGCCAGGGCTCCCCAGTTGGTGGCCTGGGGCTGGAACCTTCAGGGGGCTGTCCCCGTGCCTTGGGGAGGGAGAGGGAGTGGGGGAGTCAGTGGGGACCTCTGAGGCCATCGCGGCTGCGGCGTGGGGCGCTCCCTGTCCCCGCAGGACTCCTTCCCGGCCCGGTTCAAGGCCATCCACTTCATCCACCAGCCCTGGTACTTCACCACCACCTACAACGTGGTGAGGCCCTTCCTGAAGAGCAAGCTGCTCCAGAGGGTGAGTGGCAGCTGGCCATGCAGGGGCGGGGAGAGCAGGGGCGCTGCACAGCGATTGGCTGATGAGTGGGTGAGGGAATGGGGCTTCTTATTTTATTTTGTTAATCCTCACCCGACGATATTTTCCCATTGATTTTTATTTTTTAAAAAAATATATTTTTATTGATTTCAGAGAGTAAGAGAGAGAGAGAGAGAGAAACATCAGGGATGAGAGAGAACCATTGATTGGCTGCCTCCTGCACGCCCCACTCAGGGGATGGAGCCCACAACCCAGGCATGTGCCCTTGACTGGAATCAAACCGCGATCTCCTGGTTCATAGGTCGATGCTCAACCACGGAGCCATGCCAGCCTGGCAATGTGTTTGGTGTTTTTTATCTTATTTTTATTGATTTCAGAGAGGAATGGGGAGGGAGAGATAGAAACATCAATGATAAGAGCAATTCATTGATCGGCTGCCTCCTGCATGTCCCCCTTCTGGAGATCGAGTCCGCAACCTGGGCATGTGCCCTTGACCGGAATCGAACCTGGGACCCTTCAGTCCACAGGCCGACGCTCTATCCACGGAGCCACACCGGCCAGAGCTGTTTGGTGACTTTTGATGAGGGCATCCTAGGGCCCCCCAGCTCAGCTCTGTGTCTGCTTCCCTGCAGGTCTTTGTCCACGGAGATGACCTCTCCGGCTTCTTCCAGGAGGTCGACAAGGACATCCTGCCCACCGACTTTGGGGGCACCCTGCCCAAGTACGATGGCAAGGTGGTGGCTGAGCAGCTCTTCGGCCCGCGGGCCCACGCCGAGAGCACGGCCTTCTGAGGACACTCCTGCCTCCGATCCCTAGTTAGCATCCCTGGGCCTCTCCCCCGTGCCCCGGACCCAGAGGCTGGGAAAAGGGCTGCCTGGGGGGGCTGGGGTCCCTGACCCTCCCTGAGCTTGGGTGAGCTCAGGCGTCACCCTCCTCCTAAGTCCGGGGGCAACAAACCAGGGGGAATTCGCTTGAACAAGAAGAATTGGGGGCCCTAGCCGGTTCGGCTCAGTGGATAGAGCAGCCATGGGCAAACTACAGCCCGTGGGCCGGATCCGGCCCGTTTGAAATGAATAAAACTAAAAAAAAAAAAAAGACCGTACCCTTTTATGTAATGATGTTTACTTTGAATTTATATTAGTTCACACAAACACTCCATCCATGCTTTTGTTCCGGCCCTCCGGTCCAGTTTAAGAGCCCATTGTGGCCCTCCAGTCAAAAAGTTTGCCCACCCCTGGGATAGAGTGTCAGCCTGCAGATAGAAGGATCCCGGGTTCGATTCCGGTCAAGGGCATGTACCTTGGTTGCAGGCTTCTCCCCAGCCTGGGCCCTGGTCGGGGCGCATGCAGGAGGCAACCCATCGATGTGTTTCTCTCACATCGATGTTTCTCTCTGACTTTCCCTCCCTCTTCCACTCTCCCTAAAAGTCAATGGGAAAATATCCTCGGGTGAGAAATAATAATAATAATAATAATAATAATAATAATAAATACATATCTTGTTTAAGAAAAGATGACGATGATGATTTGGGGACAATTACATTCTTACTGTCTTTGAAGCTTTGGGATAATGGCTTGTGTGAGGTTGTTTCCAAGACTCTACGTTTCATAATGATTTCCTTTGCAAGAGTTTTGCTACTTAGAGCCGTGAAAACAGGCCAGGAGGGGGTAGAAGCGTGAGTGATCTGGGGGCACCGGAACCTCGGCAGCCAGCAGGCAGTGAGGGCTTCCACGTGGAGGCAGGCTTGCAGCCGCTCCATTTTGGGGTGGCCTGCTCCCCTCAGTCAGGTGCGGGCTGGTGCGGGCAGCGATGGCCAGTTGTGTCCCCCTCCTCCTGTCTGTGGGGTCTCTCCAGCAAAAGCTGCCGAAAAAGAGCGGAGCTACTCTATAGCCTCATCCTGAGGGATTTCCTACAACATCTGGAGCTGAGGCGGCCAGGAGCTGACAAGTGAGTTTGCTGACTGTGGGCGGGCACCGCCCCCTGCTGGCCATGCCCTGGTACTGCCCCTCCCCGCTCAGAGACCAGCTGAGCAGGAAAGAGCGGGCGCTGGGCCAGACCTTCCCTGTCCCCTTTGGTAGAATGTGTCCAAGACCATGAATGTTTTTTTTTTTAAATATATTTTATTGATTTTTTTACAGAGAGGAAGAGAGAGGGATAGAGAGTTAGAAACATCGATGAGAGAGAAACATCGATCAGCTGCCTCTTGCACACTCCCTACTGGGGATGTGCCCGCCACCAAGGTACATGCCCTTGGCTGGAATCGAACCTGGGACCCTTCAGTCCGCAGGCTGACGCTCCATCCACTGAGCCAAACCGGTCGGGGCGACCATGAATGTTAATGTTAAATCTGACATGCTCAGCCTTGCAAAATCCCAGCTGCCTCCACACTGGGTGCCTACAAGTGGCCGCCATCACCGTAATAGTAAGGGAGGAAGCGGGGCCCAGCTGGCGTGGCTCAGTGGTTGAGCATCGACCGGTCTATGAACCAGGAGGTCAGGGTTTGATTCCCGGTCAGGGCACACGCCTGGGTTGAGGGCTTGGTCCCCAGTGGGGGGCGTGCGGGAGGCAGCTGATGGATGATTCTCATCACTGATGTTTCTCTCTCTCCCTCTCTGAAATCAACAAAAATATATTTTAAAAAGAGAGGTGGAGGGACAATAAGATAGCCTTTTGAAAGCCACCCACACAACTTGACTTCAACGACCACTACTTGCTGTCCAGGACCGCTTCCTTTCTGGAGACACGTGGATGAAGCAGGAATTCACCTCTGCCACCCCACGTGGACCTCGGGGGAGGCTGGGTTAGCTGATGGAGGCAGCTGGTTAAGGCAGGTGGAGGTCTCGGCAGGGAAACGGCCCGCCAGGTTTTGCCTGGTGAAGGGGGAAGACCATTCTGTGTGCAGGCTCCCGGGGTGGGGAGCATGGCGAGCTCTCCTGGCTGTGCCAGTGCCTGGCCCGGGGGTGGGGAGGGGCGACCCCTGGGCTTGGATTCAGACAGATACCAAGGAGAAGAGAACACCACCATCGCCCAACCAACCCAAGACAATCCCAATTCAGGTCCTGTCCGCCCACTCTGTTCAGAGAACCCCACTGGAAAAGCACATGACTCAGCCATGGCAACCCCCACTTACCTCGCACCTCACATTTTGCCTACACGGTTCGCTGTGCTGATGAAAGCGCTGATTTCTCACTTATCTCAGGCCTTGGCTTTCTTGCCTGGAGAGACGGGCTTGCAAAGACACCTTGGGCTGGTCATTCCCCCGAATCTGCAAGGCTGGGTTAAAATCAGTCGTCATGAGCCCTGGCTGGTTTGGCTCAGTGGATAGAGCGCCGGCCTGGGGACTGAAAGGTCTCAGGTTCGATCCTTATCAAGGGCACATGCCTGGGTTGGGGGCTCGATCCCCAGTGGGGGGCGTAGAGGAGGCAGCCAATCAATGATTCTCTCTCATCATTGATGTTTCTCTCTCTCTCCCTCTCTCCCTTCCTCTCTGAAATAAAAATATATATATTTTAAAAAACCAGTCATCACAAGAACTTGGTGTTTGGCCCATTTCCTTCAAGCTCACACTTTGGTGAAGACACAGCCAAGAACCCTTTTAAATATAAAACCCCCACCATACAGAAAACACGCAGCCTCGCCACGTTTTTAGTCTTTTAATTTTTTTTTTTTAAGTAAAGAAATTCCATTGAATCAAAGATAACAAAATTACAGTTTTTCGCTTGTAATGATCTTTGTTTACCACCACACGGAATCAACATAGGACCCCAACGCAATATGAGAACATAAAACGATCAAGGACACCGCTGTTTAGTATAGTTACTTAATAAAGGTAAATCTCCTCGTTATTTAGAAAAAATTGCATTGCTAGTTGCAGATCTTAAACACCTCGGTGCTGGAGGGTCCCGTGTCCCGCCCCCCCTCCCCCCCAAACCCAGCAGCACGGAGGATTTCGGAACACAAACGCAAAAACACAGTTTTCAGGGCAGCAACGTTAAGTTTCAGGGAAATCCAAACAAAACGAAACACAACAGCAATCAGGAATGTGAACGCGATGGTTCCCAAAAATCAATCTGGAAGCAGATCTGTGAGGGGAAGAACGTGGCTGACGGGAGTCTGAGCGGGCCAGGGAGGGGGGCGCACACTGGCTCCCTCCCGCCCCTCCCCGCCCCGGTGGGTGGGTGGGTGTCGCTAAGGCAGCTGCAGTGGCAGGAGTCGGAGCTCAGGTACAGTGACGGTCTTCCTGAGGCAGTGGGGGGGAGAGGTGACAGGGCTCGAGGCGGACTTGTGCTTCGGGGGAGCTAAGGAGGCCAAAGCAAAAACCCAACGGGACCGAACTGGACACCCACACCCGCGGCCTGGGGGCTGCTCAGCGTGGGTGGTGGTGGGGGGGGGAAATGCCCATTGAGATGAGGGTATTTCTGCAGGTGCTGTAAGCGACGGTCCCCAACTTATGGCAATAGTAGTAGATTTCTTGGCTTATGGGGACCAGGAGCGGGAGAACGTAGGCTATAGATTTCATTACGAATGGACAGAGGAGTCGAGTTAAAAGGCTTCATCCGCCAGTTAAGAAAGGAATGTCATCTTATTATATTAGAGACACCCGCACACATGCCGGGAAAAACAGCTCAGGAAACATGGGGGTGGGGGGGGGGCTAGCTCTCCCAAAAGGGGCAGCTGTCCGCTGTCTGGTAGTGGAGAATGGCTGGCGAGCTGGGCCCCGCAGCCTGCTTCCGAGGAGGCCCAGCGGCAGCATCCGGGGCAGAGGAAGCGGCTTTTGTTTGGGGAGCATCCCAGCCTCACGGCCTCAGATACAGTTTGGCAAAAGCAATGCTACTCTAGGAAGAGGGGGGTGCCTCCCTCTGCTGACAGACAACAGAGGTTCTCTAACCTTCCCCTCCACCGCTGGGCCCCTGCCCGCCACGGACAGGCCCCTTTTCACGGCCTTGGGGAGCATCCAAGTCAGCCAGAGTGGCTTTGAACAAGAGGCCAAGAAGGAAGAGAGGCGCCAGAGGAGGCATTTGGCAGGTTCTGGGTCCCCCAGTGCTGAGGGGTGGGGGTGCCGAACGTAAGAAGGCGCGTACAGGCCACAGGAGAAATGCTCTGGTTTTGCTTGTGGCTTCGCTTCTCACTCCCTCCGCGGGAGGATTTGAACGGCGATGCCACGATACTGGGGAATACCGGGGAGGAGGGGTATTCAAGTTAAGGCTTTCTGGTCAAAGAAAGGGATTCCAGATGATATTGTGAGCGAATGCTGCAGGCAAATGCTTCTTAGCAACTTGGAACGCCACGTGAGGTGGCAGTGATCTTTATTCCACCTCCAAGCCAGGACCGAGGCCCCGGGAAGAGAAGGGCCCCTCACATCCCAGACATCTGCCTGCCTGGCAAACACCAACAAGAACACACGCATTGTCCCCCTGGAGCTGGCCAGACGACCCGCAAGTCACACGGCGACAAAGCGCGCTCTCATTCTCGGCTGCCCTACCCGGGGAGTCGGGCTTTAATGAGGACGGGGTTGGAGAATGAAAGCCGGAGCTGGAAGGATGTCTGCCCCGGGAACTCTCAACGCTCTGCCTGAGTCACACAGAAAGATGGGCCACCTGCCTCGTGCCACCGCTGCACCTGCCCTGGTCACGTGGCCAAGCCTCGGGACAGCAAGGACGTGGAGATGAGGATGGAGACGCTGAAGAGAAGCCAAAGGCACAGGGCAAGGGCAAGGGCAAGGGCAAGGTCTAGGGTCTTCACCGCAAAGCCTAATGCAGCAGCTCCCTCCCCCAGGCCCCTCAAGGGGAGCCAGGGGCCCTGACTCACCGGATTCTAAAGCAAGAGCTGCAGGCGGCCAGTGGGAGTGTTTGGGAGAATGACCTGTACATACATGAATGGTTTTAGAGACGGTCTAGGACAAGCATGTCAAACTCACGCCCGCCAGTGGGCCACACGCCTCGAGGCATGTGGCCCGCCGGCCACGAGTTTGACATGCTTGGTCTAGGATCCCTGGGGCTCAGGGAGGTGAAGAGACTGCCCCCATCCAGGGTGAATGAGGGACAGGTAGGACAAGCACCCAGGTCCCCTGCACCCTGCTTCCTAACACCGTGCCCAGAAAGGGGCGCTCCCCTTCCAGGCACATTGCCCCTCGTGTGGTCTGTCACAGGGCCCCCTCCCCCACTCCCCTTGCCAAGTGTGAAATGCGGCTGAGAGCTTATAAGGAGGGTGACCACAAACAACCTTCCGCTCCAGGCTGCCCTGGAGTCCCTGGTGCAAAGTCACAGCAGAGAAGTGAGGGGTTTTCTTTCTTTCTTTTTTTTTTTTTTTAATCCTCACTGGAGGATATTTTTTCCACTGATTTTTAGAGAGTGGAAGGGAGAAGGAGAGACAGAGAGAAACACCGATGTGAGAGAGACACATCGATGGGATGCCTCCCACCTGCCCCTGACCAAGGCCGGGAGCCTGCAATCGAGGTATGTGCCCTTGACCGGAATCGAACCCGGGACCCTTCAGTCCGCAGGCCGACGCACTATCCACTGAGCCACACTGGCCAGGGCAAGGGGTTTTCTTCAAGGCTGTTAAGCGCCCTCTAACAGAAGTGCATCAAGGAGACCTGACACCATTTTTCAGAAAATCCTAATTTGCCTCGAATCGGTTACTCATTAATGCCTTCAAATGGTTTAGGAGGCAGGGGGTACAACCAGGAGGAACATGGGTACCCCCCCCCCCTTGGTTTTTAACGTGTTATTGAACTGTCTGGGTCTATGCAACTTACATCCTTCCTCTGATTTCAGAATAGAGTGTTCAAAAGCCCTAGTTTTAGCCCAAGTGGGGCCTTAATAGCCAGATGAGCGCTCCCATCACCGTCAGAAATGAACGACTTCCGACTTCCGAAGAAAAGCGAAGGGAAGCGGGAGGGAGGAGGAAGCTGACCTACATAGAGAACGCCGCTCCCCTGTTTACCAGGCGAGCTCGCCTCTCTGCAGACTCAATGCCCTGTGCGCTCATTCAGGGCAAACAAGAACGTCCCTGTTAAGACGGCCACAGCCACCCTCTCATTTCCATGCCCGGGAGCCTGGCGCTGAACAAAGGGCTTCAGTGGACTTCGTGTGAGCGCCATTCAGAGTCACACACTGAAAAGAGCTCAGCTGGGACGCCACCCTCGCAGCCCCGGGGGGTGGATTCCGGTTGGGTGGCAACAAAGGAGGTGCCCCAAACTCTGCCTCCTGCCCCCACCTCCGGGGGGACACCTGGGTCGGACTGCTGTGCAGACCGGGCTCTAAGGACTTCTGTCCCCTGCACCCCGGGGGCGGGGGGGAGACACAACAACACTGTCTTTTCTCTTCCCGATGGAGCTGGTACCTGGCCAGTACTTCCTCAGAACAGGGCAAGAGAGGGGGCCCGGGGCAAATGACAGGAGCCGCTGGCTTCCTGGGATGGTCACACAAACCTATGAAGTTATTGCTTCGTTTACCGAATGTCACAGAAAGTCTTAAGTAATGAAGGGAGACAGCGGGGGCTGTCGGGCGGCGGGGAAGTGACAGGGGAGAAGGACACGCTTCCAAATTGAGGGTCAGATGGTAAAGTGCCACTTTGTGCTACAACAACGCCAAGAGGAAAAGCACTAGAAAAATAACAACGTGGGGGGTGGGGGGAGGGAGTCACAAGGACAAACGTGGTGTGTGTTTGTATAAACCACAGCACAGTCCGGACCACAGAAATCATCATCTTTAGAGATAATGGCTGTTTTTGATGTTATTTGTTAGTTCGATCTAGTGATTGTCAGCAAATAATTTCTCCAGGTCGCAGACGTTACTGTCACCGTCACTTGGACCAATGCTCAAGCTGTGACCACCTGTGGCCACAGGTGACTCCCTCCACCCCTTCCACATCCACACGGACCCCCTTTTCCTATTCCTGTCTGCCCCGGGGCAAAGGAGATGAAGCAGGGAACATTTTGAAGTATCCAGGCAATTTCTCTCATAGTTCCATTTCACGCCCGACAGCAACGGCAGATTTTTCCAAGTGCAGGGTTTTTAGACATTCAAGTACCACAGGATTGGAGAAAAGTACTTGAAACTTAGAGTGACATTTTCATTGGGGAAGACACCTTCGGAGAGACCTCTACAGACTACAACAGGCTATGACGTTAACAATCTGCTTGCAAAACACCTCAGGTTGGGAAGGCCTTTCTCCAAACTCAGGTCCAACTTTTGAATTGTTTGGTATCAAAAGCCGGAGTTGGAGAGACCTGGGCTAAAAAATAAAATGACAAATGAGTGCATAATAAAGCAAGGCCCCACACACGGCTTTATATGACACGAGGAACAAACAAAGGCAGATGATGACATCGACATGTTTAGACTGGAGGGCGGCTCCCAGGGCCCCCGGGAGGCATGGTCTCTCAAACCTAAGGAAAGTGAGTTTGTCATTGAACTTCAGGGCGGGTATTGATCTCGGCCGGCAATCCACCTGGTCCAAGCCCCCCATTTTACAGGTGAGGGACGTCAAGTTCAAGGGGGCTCTTCCAGGGTCATATAGCCAGTGAGAAGCAGAGTCAGGTGTGGTCACAGGGGGCAGGCCTTGGAGGCCCCTGGGAGCTGGGTGGCCCCTCCGACTACGGATTGTAATGAAAAGAGCTACCGAGATGTTTCTAATGTAAAGGCCCTGCAGACAGTATTTCCCCAATTTGCCTGGCGATGAGAATCACCGGAGGCACTTGTCAAAAATTAAAATCCCCAGGCCCTTTCCCAGGCCCACGGCATGGGCTTCCCCTTGGGGAGGGACCCGGGAGGCTGAATTTTTAATAAGCGCACCAGGTCACTCTCATCACCAGCAAGGGGCTGGGAGACTGCCTAGGAGAGAGCGAGGGGGAAGCTTGGCTTGTGATCAAGGGGGTTTTCTCTGCCCTAAGAGGCCCCGCTGCGGCCGGGAGCCCCGGGACCCCAGGTTCGGAGCTGACCCGCATCTCCGGCAGGGGCTGGGCTGGGGAGCGTTTTTTCCGGGTCTACACAAGGACACAGAGGGCCACCGCCAAATAACAGACGTCCTGCATTGTTCCTGGGGGAGAGCCTTTTGATTGGCAAAGCAAAACTGCTGTCCCGACACGTTTTTCATAGGGAAACTAGATGGGATTGGCTTAAAAGCAATCATGATAGGATGCTCAACTGGACAGGAGGGTGAGGGGCTGTCTGGCGCGTGTCGCCATGGCTAACAATGCAATGGAGGAAACAAGGAACTAAGCACAAAAATAGCCTGGAGCTCCCGGGGTAGCCGCCCACCCCGAGACAGGTGTGCCCGGTGGTGGCCCCCGCTGACGGTGTGAGGTCAGATCCAGGTCACGGGGGGAGGGGGAGACCTGAACAGCCGGTGAGGGACGCCAGTTCAAGGAGGGCAGCTGGAGCGCCAGAGTCCGGGGGCCTCACTCCAGGCCGGCCTCCACATGCTCCGCGTCGGCGCACTGCAACTTGCTGCGTTCCCACTGGCAAATGGCGTTGGCGTACTCCACCACCAGCTTGTCCATCCACGTCAGCGGCTCGGGCAGCAGCATGGAGCCCTCGAAGAAGCCCAGGTGGCCCCCGTGCAGAGGCAGCACAAACATGACGTTCTCCCGCTTCTCTGCAGGGGAAAGGCAGCCGTGAGTCCCTGTCCTCGGGGTCGCTCCGTGGCAGGAGGTGCGGAGACGCTGGCCAGGTGGCCCGGGTGTTCCCCACAGGTGAAGGTCACCTACAAGGGCATCCGACCTCTACTCACTGCCTCGTTCAGCTCCGTAGGAGGGAGACCAGTGGGGCAGGCACAACAGTGGGACCTAGCAGGTTGGAGAACAGCAGCTTGGCTTGGAGCAGAGCCTTTAAGATCTAAGTGGTTCTCAAACACGGCTGCGTGTTAGCACACATGGGTTTGGAAAGATCTCTGTGCAGCACCCTAGCTGGTTTGGCTCAGTGGATAGAGCGTTGGCCTGCAGACTGAAGGGCCCCGGGTTCGATTCCGGTCAAGGGCACATGCTGGGTCTCGGGCTCAACCCCCAGTAGGGGGCGTGCAAAAGGCAGCCGATCCATGAATGATTCTCTGTCATCATTTCTATCTCTCTCTCTCTCCCTTCCTCTCTGAAATCAATAAAAATATATATTTAAAAAAAGATCTCTGTGCAGCGTCCAGACCAGTTACATCAGGGTCTCTGTGGGTGTGGGGGGTAGGTGGGAGGGGGAAGCAGGCGCTGCAGCTGCTAAAGCTCCCCAAGTGACTCGGCTGTACAGCCAAGCACGCCCCAACTTTGTGCACGGGAACCCCTGGGATATCGCCTTAAAACGCAGGCGCTGCTTTCCCAGGCGGTGCTGCTGCTGCGTGGAGGGAGGGTCCTGGGAAGGATTCCCAGCCCGGCATTTACACTGTCATTTCCTGGAGAACAAGGCAACTCAGCGAGGCGATGGTTTTTCATGCCGTTTATCTTCTAAGACCGAAGCATAAAGCTGCCGGTGGTGCTTAAAGATGCCCACACTCTCGCCCTAACCAGTTTGGCTCAGTGGATAGAGTGTCGGCCTGCGGACTCAAGGGTCCCAGGTTCGATTCCGGTCAAGGGCATGTACCTTGGTTGCGGGCACATCCCCAGTAGGGAGATGTGCAGGAGGCAGCTGATCGATGTTTGTCTCTCATCGATGTTTCTAACTCTCTATCTCTCTCCCTTCCTCTCTGTAAAAAAATCAATAAAATATATTAAAAAAAAAAGATGCCCACACTCTCATAGCACCCGCTGAGCGGGCACGCTGAGCAGGACAGACGGGGCGCGAGGCTTGATGAGTGAGGTTAGTTGCTAGCACAGCCAGCACGGAACGGGCAGCTCCGGGAGCAGCTGTCTTCCTGGGGCCGTGGTCGGCAAACCGCGGCTCGTGAGCCACATGCGGCTCTTTGGCCCCTTGAGTGTGGCTCTTCCACAAAATACCACGTGCGGGCGCGCACGTACAGTGCGATTGAAACTTCGTGACCCATGCGCAGAAGTCGGTATTTTGTGGAAGAGCCACACTCAAGGGGCCAAAGAGCCGCATGTGGCTCTCAAGCTGCAGTTTGCCGACCACTGTCATAGGGGGTAACTGACAGCGCCCCTGCTGGCTGCCCCGGGCCTTGGCGGGTGACACTTCCTGGCACGCACACGTGGCTCCGGGCTCGCTCCTTTCTTGCCTGAGCCCTTATACCCTGTCCCTGCGGTCACTATTGCACACGTTTCTGTGCCAGGGCAGCAGCGCTATGGCTGGGTGCAGGGAAGGAAGCGAACGCGCTGCTTTCTCTGGGTGCTGCCCACGTGGCTGAGTGGGCGGCTTCTGTGCAGGGGCCCGAGGTTTGGAGGGGAAGGCGGGTGGCAGGGGAGAGACTTTACCCCAGCCCACGCGCGGCATGCACTCTGCGTGGTGCCCGGAGCTCTCTGGAGGCGGGCGTGGGTCCCCGTCTGCTGCGGTATCTACCCTCCTCGCTTGGGGTCACGAGAGAACCAGAGGTATCCCCCCTCCTCCGGGTGACATGTGACACTTACAGGGGACGTGCAGGGAAATGAGGCCCTAGGAGTCCCAGATTTCCTCCTGCGGCCCCGCCTAGCTCTCCTCCAGCTCCTTCCTGCCCTGGGGAACACTCCCACGGCCACAGCTGCTTTCTCAGTTGCTTATATTTTTATCCTCAAAGCAGATGGAGAGGCTGGCTGTCACGAGGGGATTTTTATTTATTTTTTGCTTTTCAGGTCAAGTCTGAAGAGTAAATATCTCTTTCCACCCTAACCGGTTTGGCTCAGTGGATAGAGCGTCGGCCTGCGGACTGAGGGGTCCCAGGTTCGATTCCGGTCAAGGGCATGTACCTTGGTTGCAGGCACATCCCCAGTAGGGGGTGTGCAGGAGGCAGCTGATCGATGTTCCTCTCTCATTGATGTTTCTAACTCTCTATCCCTCTCCCTTCCTCTCTGTGAAAAATCAATAAAATATATTTTAAAAAAAAAATCTCTTTCCTCAGACTTAATGGAGCCATAACCCTGAGCCGACAACTGCAGAGCAGCAAGGACTCCGCTCTTGCCTCTGATGTAAGGGAGGGGCCTGCCTCCTGCACGGGACGGACACAGGGAGGCTCTGCCCAGGCCCCCGCACAGCCCGGCACTGTCGGGTCTGACCAACAGCCCCGCCGGGAGGGACAGCACGCGAAGGGGACAGAAGGACCGGCGGTTTGCCGAGCGCCTGAGGGAGCAGCAGGAAGACACTTACCTGAGAGAGACTTTGGAATGCTGAGGAGACTTTCATGTACCAGCGGGTCATCGGCTGCGTTAACCAGCATGAGGGGCACGTAGATCTGAACCAAGAAAAGAAAAAGAATGAAGTGATCGCTTCCCTTTTGTGGACCCCACTGATCCAAGGTTCAAGTTCACGCCCCGACCTGGCCCTGAAGAAGAGGGAAGGTGGCCACTGCTCAGTGTGCTGAACAGGTGGGTGAGGGACACCCTGGTCCCCCGGGCGGCCAGCTGCTGCTGTGACTCCGGCCCTCGGACACCCCTGGACCGCCATGCCGGGAGTGCACGCCTGCGTGTGCTAAGCTGGGGTCTCTGGCCTTGGCTCTGGGGGGCTCCACGGTGCTGTAATGTGCAGATGACGACACCAGAAGCCTGGGTGCTGAGGCTGAGCTAGGAGGGGTGGCCGACATGACACGTGGCCGAACTGCAGCCACAAGTCCCTGCTTCAGCTGGGAGGGGGCCACACCGACACGTGCTCATAGTCTGGGTCAATGGAGTCCCACATTGGAGCCAAAAGAGCAATTGTGCAAACCCAGAACGAGAGAGACTGGTTGGTGGTGGTGGTTCAGGCAAAAAACATGTGGGGGTTCCCCTAGCCCAGTGCCGGGAGCCGGTCCATCCTTGCTGCTTGACACAGTCGCTGCAGGAAAGAAACATCTGCACAGCATATGTTTCAAGGGACCTGGCATATATAGCATATTGTTCTTAATATGTTTGCTCTCTTTAGCGCCATGTGTTTTAACCAAGGTCACCTCTCCGAGAAAGGTTGTTTCCCCAGGTGGGGATCTTTCCCTGAGGTTAGGGAGGGGATACAACCCCTTAATTAAGTGCCAGGCGGGTAGTTAAGCTACATAATCTTTACTCCCTGGAATGGAGATAAGAAACGCCCTAACCTTTGTAATAGAAATTGACAGGATTAAAATCGGCTGGTATAAATATGGATGTAACAAGACAATAAACATCAGATCCTGATCAGTTCCTAACCAGAACTCCGACCAGAACTTTGGCTGGAGATCCTGGCTAGAGGTCCTGACTAGGCTGCTGATCAACTGAAGGCTGTCTTCGTGTCATTCCTTCTTCGCCGACTCCGTCCACACCTTCGGGGACCCCTGGACCCGCTGGGATTGGAACCCCAGCAGCCCAGTGTCGGCAAACCG